TCTGAGCAAAGCTGTGTGAAACGAGCTCAGCTAAAATACAACATTGCACAGGATGAGTGTTACACACTTGAGAACTTTGGTCAAAAAGGATCCCTTTGTCTGGAAGGTACCTGGCCTCAGTTCTGAGGAAACTTGGATGTAATAATGAAAAACAAAAACTGCTTTTTTTTCTTCTTTTCTTTTTTTCGTTGGTTTTTGTTTGTTGTTTGTTTTTTTTTTAACCTGAAAATTGCTGAAGCTGAGGGAAGAGAAATCCACTGAGACAGAAGCCAAATAAAAAGGTTGTCATTATTCTCATTTACTCTTTTACCCTCTCCTCATGATGCCATGCCAGGACACACACTGAAAAGTTTACTGGGTCCTTGAATGAAGGAACACAACTCTCTTTCTGTACAATGAAAGCATGTATATTTCAGTGTGACACCAGGGAGAGATACTCAACAATGATGTCTTTTGTACAAATGAGAGTCTTTATTCAAGAGGAAGATAGCTGTGATGCTGATAAAAATAATAATTTGTAATTTCAATATGATGTTTTTCCTCCAAAAGACCTCACAAAGAAGAGCATTCTTATCCTATCATTATATCAAAAGAGAACTTTTACAACAAGTAATGAAGGAGCTAGTCTAAGATCAATTGGTAGATCGTGGGAGAGAAATAACCACTGTCCTGTTCCTGTCCCACATGTTTAGCCTGCCCTGGGAAACATGCTGAAGGTAAGAGTTGCTTCCTCTGTCTGATCTTCTGAGGGAGGAATTAACACTCATGAAATTTCATCTTCTCCCTCTACTGCTGTTGCCACTCTTCATGCCCTCTTGCCAGCTTGGCACGTTTTCTCCAAACACTGAGCAGCCTGGCCACAGACCCAGCATGACTGAAGAGGGCTGGTTTGCTGTGGCTGTCACGGCTTTGCTGCAGGGCAGGCAGTGCCCTGAGCAGTGAGCTGCACAAACCTCTTGCACACACACACACACACACACACACACACACACACACACACACACACAGGCACAGCTCACACCACACACACTGCAGCTCCCAGCAGCCTTGCTGTGTGGGAGTAGCCCATCCTGTCCTCAGAACAGCAGATGTCCAGGCCATATGTCTCCTTTAAGAATCCTCTCAGCCTGGGACAGTCTTACAGCAAAGGCCTTGTGGTAAGGGCAAGGGCGGTGGGGAAATGCAGTATCACCTTACAGGAGGAGAAAATTCCAGTCTGGGAAAGAGATGCTCAGAGCAGCTGAATAAGAAACAGATATGTAGTCACTTGCCTGAGATTCAGGTGTTATTGCCATCGAATGCTGAGAAGCAGTCTTATGATGTAATTTTTAAAAATTAAAAAACAGTTAAACCTGATCCATTTTTTATAAGGAAGTGTGTCTTTTTCACAAAGATGACTTCCAATTTATTGTACATACATCATTAGGACACAGCAGCTACAGGAGCCTGGAAATCCAGGTGCTGAGCTTTGCAGTGCAATGTGCTGCAAGGGAACAGCCTGGCAATACTTTACACAACAAGTTCACCCAGCGATTATATGGAAGTAGCTTCCCCAGATGAAGCCTCATTATGGCAGATGCTGTGCATGCACAGGGAGAGAATCCTTTCCCAGATAGGTTATGGTATCTCTAACACAGACACTTCAGAGCTTGAGGCATAATGAAAGGGGATGTGTTGTCAAGGATCTCAAGGGAGTTTTGTGGCAGAAGTGCAAACACAATAAATTCAGATCTGCTGAGCTAAAGCCTGTGTCCCGACTTCAAAAGCCCCTGCCTTTCACTGAGCAATTTCATACTACTTTCTTCTTGTCTCTCCTCTCCAGATGTTTACTGGAAACTACTGTGGCATGGTGGCTAGAGGTTCAGATCCACAAAGGAAATAAAAGAAACAAGAGAAACCTCCTTTGGGCTACTCTGGATAGAACTCAGGAGGTTTATGTATGGAAAATAACTGTTTGCCAGGGATTTAGGGGTTGAAGGGAGACCTGTGAAGTGTCATCACTAGGGCCAGGATAAATGGAACAAACCCCAGCACATCCTGAACAGATACATCAATTTCAACAGAGTTGTCAATTAGCACAGAGCAAGTCAGATGTCACTGGAGAAAAATCTCTGCTCTTCAGGGAAGGGAGGAATCTCTCCGTGACTCAAGAGCAGATGGTTTGGCAGCAGCAGCACAGTCAGCTCCTAGCACTGGATTAACAAATTACAGAGAGATATGCTCCCTCCTTTGTGTTTACAGCACATGACTGGAAAGAGGGCTCAGGAAAAAAGGATAATGTGAAAAGAACTCACATGTAATGTCAGCTGAGTGGCCAGAAAGGATTCTCATGAAAGCCAGCAGCCTGCAGCAGGATGCTGCCTGCCTCCCTCTAGCAGATACACATTTCTGTTGGGCATAGGACCCTACCTTCTCACTCAAAATAAAACACAGCATTATGAAATGCTGATATTTCCCTCTCTCTAATTCTCAGTGCTTAAATTAATGCTGAGCCTGTGTCTTTAAGCCCCGTTTGTTTCTTCTCTTGTTGCCATAGAGTTTAGTGTTTCCATGTTTGAGATTTCCTTTTTTTTTCCTTCCAGACATTACTCCATCAGCACAATTCCAGACCTGGGATTCCAGCCACTTTGGGCTAAAGGGAAACTCATTTTTGTTGCTATAAAAAAATCAAGCCATGTAAATGCCTGTGGCTCAGATTTAGGTCCTGTGTCTAGGAATAGCACAGGGTGAATAAGAGAGGTGAGGAAGAAGCAAACATCTCTGTGCATCTCCTCTCGTTTCTCTAGTTCTACCTGTCCTTTCAAGGACAGGGAGAGGAAGAGACCTTTGCCATCCTCTGGCACAGTAGCAATCCTTACGCTTTTGTCTGGATGATTTTTAGTATGCTTGCCTCTGATTGTCTATCTGAAAAACAGAAGTAGTGAATGGATATTTAATTGCCTTAGTAAAGTGTCTGCTGGTACAGGGATGGAAGATATGAGCTAAGCACAAAGTACCAGTAATATTAAGCTATTTCTTACAGCACTATTAGCACTGCTGTCTGCAAAACATTGCTGTTGACTCACCCTGGCATGCAAATTATTTAGGCTGTACAATGTGTCAATCTGTTACAGTGCACTACAGGTTGAAAGAATAAGATAAAGTACTCTGAGGAATATAGCATTAAGTTTTAAGTAGCTCTAAATAAGTGCTACAGCTAATTATTAACATTATACATTTCACTAAATTGCATTAAAATAAGAAAAAAATCTTATTATTTCAGTAGCTTAATTAGCTACTGTATTATGTCATACTGTAATATATTATGAACAGCAGTACATGCTAGCCATGTATTGAGAAATTATATTAAAAATGCAGATCATTTTAGAAATGGGGAAAATTTAATTGGGAGTAATTTTTTTTTTTTTTGCAAACGGAACATTTTCTACAGTGCTTTTTCTAATTGTAACATTTTTTTCATTCAAATTCTATTTTTGACCCTCATGAATTTCAAGGAGAAGAAAATCTAATCTCAGTCCTGGGACTTTTCATGAGATTAAAATAAGAAGTGTGGTGCCAAAAGCAAACAATTTTTCTGGTTTCTACCCACTTGTGATTTTTTGTGGTTTTAGATGAACATTTCCTGAATACTCACGGGTTATGTTGCTCAGGGAAAACCCCTGAGAGAAAGGAATTTCAATAAAGAGCTTGTTGGCCATACTATGGTGATTTATTTTTATTACCACTTCTTGAAGCAGTATCTTTTTGTGTTTTTCCTTTCTTTTTTTAACTTCACACATGAAAGAATGTTTCTGGCAAAGGGGAAACTAGTAAAATCCTCAGGGTGAAAGTGTCTCATTTGGGCTGTCTTGAGAGTCCAAAAGAAAAGAAGGCTAACAATAGAAGCAAGGCTGAGAAGTTGGGTAAGTCATGGTTAGGGAAGCAAAAAATGTTGATCAGCTGTGGGAATTCCCAAGCCTCACTGCCAGAACAGTGTGCAACAATGCAGGAACTTGTTGCTGCAGCAGTGAAGATCCACTCTGTGCTCTGGAAAAGCACAGGCAAAAGTTCTGGCTCCCCTGTGGAGACCCTTCCCAGAGGCTGGTAAGGCTGGCACAGCACAAAGCAGCTCTGCAGCAGAGCAGGAATTATAGGTCCATTTGTTAGGCAGCCCAGACAAATGAATGGTGGACAATACCTGACCTTTACAAAGAGTCTCTAGCTGGGATTTCTGTTATCTCAACATTTCCCATCCTCTCTAGCTTTGCTAGGATCCACAGTGAAGCCAATTAAGCTATCAACCAGAAGCACAAGTAGCTAGTAAGGACCGACAGGTAAGGTGATCTGGATCTTCTCCTTTTCCAGGTTCCCTGGCTATCAGAGAATGTGCACATTTCTGTCCAAGTCAAATTATAGCCTGCAGTAAAAACCAAGAGGGATGTAAAAACATTTGCAAAATCAAGATGTACATTCAAGCAATATTGTCTGATGCTGCACATCAGAACTGCAATTGTGAAAATCAAACCATGGCTTGGGAGGGGAAAAGCTCAAGCTGCATCTAAAATCCTAATGAGGATTTGAAAAGATCCTAAAGACGATCCATAAAGATCCATACAGGCAGATTCTCACAAAGGTTAGAGATGTACAACCACATATAGAAACTGTGCATTGGAAATCCCGAGCTCAAGCTTCTTATTAGTACAGGGCTGCTGCCTTATCCCTGCTAGGGGCAGGGGGCAGCTGTGGATTCATCTTCTCTTTCCTGAGCTCCCTTCTGTACATGACAAGCTAAAAATTATTTTTTGTTCCTACCTCCTTGCCAGCAAGCCTAATTGCTCAGCTAATTGCCCCCTCACCAGCCAAGTTAATACACAAGCTAAATTCAATGTTTGAATTTCCACCAAAAGAAATATTTTGGAAATTTAATAGCACAGCTGTTCTACTAAGGCTGCCGGAAGGGAACTCTCACCAACTTTTCTGGAGCAAAGATTTATTTTATCTTCTGCCATTTTATTTTAAAGGTCCAGATCCAGATGATGTCATCTTTTTGCCAATTACACTCCTGTGTCAGCTGCATCCAGCCAGCTGCATCCAAGAATACAGAATGTCGAAGGCTCTGAGCTCCAAGAAATGTCTCAGCTGGTACTTGACTCCCCTTGTTTTCTGAACATCTTGCATGTGTGCACAGAAGGCTTTTGCTATTTCATCTCAAATCTGACATCCCAATTTGTAGAGCTCTCATCATGATGGCTGATTTTGATTGTGTGGTTTTGAATTCCCCACTCACAGTAATAGCCACAAACAGGAATGTCCAGCTGGACAAACATCGTGTGATGGGTGAGCAGCTGGCTCACAGGGTGGGCACAAAGAGTTACAGGAATGGGGTGACATCAGATGGTCACCTGTCACCAGAGGGGTTCCACAGGGCTCCATCCTTGGTCCTGTGCTCTTCAATATCTTCATAAATTATTTGGATGCAGGATTTCTTCATCCAAGGTGGTGAAAAAGTATAATTGAGACAAGTTTTGAGAGAGCTGAACTGTTTACTGCTATGTTGGCATTCAGACCATCAAGCCCTACTAAAAACAACAAACCATGGAATAACTTGAATTTCAGTAGAGATTCTTAGTGATCCACTGTGAGCATCTAAAAAACTTTTGACATTTCAGAGCATTTGACCATGAGCAGATTCAACTTTGATATTTGAAAATAATAAAGCAAGTATGATGGGTGTTGCACATCAAATATTGTTTTGTTTCTCGGGCAGAATTCATAACATGAGCTCATCTGAACATGTCACAGCTGTAGTCTAAATCAGAGCCTAAGCATCATCCTCACATTGCATATTTAACTTAGTAAATATTGTGCTTTCTTTGGTTTTGGCAGCAGGAGGCAGGAAGTTCTCAAAGTCCTTGTGTGGGCTCCTAAGTGCTGTAGCTCCTGATGAGAGGACATACAGAAGGAAGGTCCAAGGTCTTTATACAGGCTTTGTCCTTGTCCTTTGTACTAGCAGGCAGAGAGACAGCACCAAAAGTAATTTGAGATAATTGCTTCAGGTTGCCTGTCCATACACTGGCATAACACAACAGCACAGAGTGAGGAGGAGGCTCATGGTGATGGGACCCCTACAAAGCCAAATTGCCCCTTGTTGGGGCTTAATTTGAGAAACCTCTAAAAAGGCAGCAGAGAAATGCAATGTATTTCTTTACACTTAGTTCTTTTCCAGAATAATAGAACATCTGGTATAGACTTTGTGAAGAGACCTGTAATGCCTGTATCTGCTTCAGTGGTTTCAACATCCTAATGCCAAACTTAAAGACAATTTTAAGGTAAGGACTGGAAGGCAGGGTGGAACACAGGTGGGTCCTGGTGATCTGAACAGAGGAGCTGAAACAGCCCGTGCAGTTTCTTGTCCGACCCAGGAACACCCAGTTCAGCTCCTCCCTACCACCAATTTGCCATTTTTTGTGGGGTAGATTACACTAAGCTCCATCTCTACTGCCACTCCATATCTGAGGAAGTTCAGATGTCTATTCAAATCTATCTCAAAGCTTAAAAAATATAATATATATATCTATATCTATATATATCTATATATATATATATACACTTTCTGTATAATGTATTTGTTTGTTTGTGCTGTGTTCTCTAATCTCCCTGGTCTCTTTTCTTGTGACTAAGTTGAAAAACATATTTGTGATGCCTAACAAAGAGCAGGAGGAAGAGAAGAGAGTTCACTTCAGTAACTCATGACTGTGTTTATTTTTCTCTTCTTTGAGGGATTTGTTTTATGACTCTCACTAAACTGTTTACAGAAAGTTCAACAGCTAGGCAGAAAGTCACTCACAAGGAAACTGGGTGAAATTAAAACAAAAATGTTGGTCAGCTTCCCAGAGGAAAGAAGGTTTTTCTCTGTTATGTCTGTTCTGCTCTTCCTCTCCACCCACATACTGGAGAAGTTCAAATGGGATAAAAATGGGGAATTGGGTACGGATGAAAACTGAAAGAACTGTAGCTGGTCTAGAAGATAGCAAAATTAATTTACCCCTCAAAACTTCTGGCTTTTCCCAATCTTTAATTTGAGATCAGGGAGAAGGACACAGACCTACATAAGCCAGAAGTTATGTGAAATGACAGTGTATAGCAACAACAACAAAAAAAATCTGCATTGACTTTCTTGAATGTCCACCAGCAATTGCTAGGTCTCAAAGAGAACTCAAAGATGTCATTAGAGATTATCAAGTAACTTATCTTCAGAGCATCCCATTCTGCAAGTGGAGAAACTGGCTTAGCTAAATGTCTCACCCGCTGTCACAGAGGGGAAATGCAAGGGCCAGCTGTAGAAGCAAACACCTGCATTTCATGTCTTGCCAAGCTATTGAATGGAAGAAAGGTTAAAGGAGAGATTCCTGCTTTTGAATTTCATTGTTCCTGACGAAAGACACACTTTGTGCAGCACGCGGTATGCACAACACAGAGCTTCTTACATTGCCCATAAATTGGCTGCCAGGACTCCTGAACCTGTCTCAGGGCTCTGGAGCAGGACAAGCAGCACCTCTTTACCCAGTGAAATGAAGGCATACAGCCTAGCTACAGCAGAACTATAAATTATCTTTATCTTGCAGTTTTACAGCCCAAAGCTCCAGCCACTCAGCAGCATTACTCTTCCTGCTGCGCTGTTTAGTGGCAGCCACAGACTTTGCAGCCTCAAGAACCAAGTATTGCTTTGGGCCAGTTAAGCTATGTAGTAACTGAGAGGCTTTGCTGTTTGTAGGTAAATCGGATTTCAATTAGTTAAAATACATTTTGATTCCAAAAATGCATCATGGTATTTTTAATAAAGTTCATTGAATATAAAAATGTTCATGGCACTTAGATATATAGGGCAGATTCAGTTCCTGAGTGTAGTCCTTACAATTAGAAGGGTCCTTTCAGAGTTCCTTTTAAATCACATGCAATAACTATTACTTGCTTCTGACCTTTTATATATTCTCTGAGAGAATGATACATAAATACCAGATAAGTAAATATGTAATCAATAAGACATGTATTGAATGCTAATCAGGCTTAGAATTTTAAATTGGTCACACTAAGATGTAGACGGTGCAACAGGGAAAATTCTCAGTGTCACCAACCCTAATCACAGAAAAATCATGAGCTTGGAACTTCAAAACTGGGTCACCTTCATGACTCAGATGTATGCATGTGTGTGTGTTTTGATTTCTGCTTCATACCCTGTCAGAGTCCTGACAAGGAACATCTCCACTGCACAGTGAGCAGTGGTGTATGCATCACTGAAGCTGCAGAGACACAAACCCCTAAGTCCACTTGAGCCTTAATTCAGGCTAATCATGAAAGTGTGCTAAGAACTGTACCTGGGCTCCTGAGCTCAGACAGGGAGCATCATTAATGCAGCTAGACCACATCCAACCTAGCCTTGAACAATTCCGGGAATAGGCCAGCCACAACTTCTTTGGGTGACCCCTTTCTGTGCCTCTCCACTCTCACAGTAAAGTATTTCTTCCTTTTTTCCAACCTAAACCTACCCGCTTTCAATTTAAAGCCATTTCCCCTTGTCCTGTCAGTACACACCCTTGCAAAAAGTCCCTCTCCAGCTTCCTCGTAGACCCCCTTCAGCTACTGAAGGGCCACAACAAGGTCACCCCAGTGCCTTCTCTTCTCCAGGCTGAACAATCCCAATTGTCTCAGCCTGTCTTCTTAATGGGAAATCTAATGATCTTCATGTCTCTCCTCAGGACTCTCTCCAACAGGTCCATGTCTTTACTGTGACGAAGACCCAGAGCTGGACACGGCACTCGAGGGGGGCCTCATAGGAGTAGAGAGGCAGCATCACCTCCCTTGACCTGCTGGCCACGCTGCCTTTGATGCAGCCCACGACATGATTGGCTTTCTGAGCTGAAAATGTCTTCTTACGTCCAGGGTCTCATCCACCAGCATGCCCAAGTCCTTCTTGCAAGGGCTACTCTCAAACTATTCATCCCTCAGCCTGTGTACTTGGCTTTGTTGAGCCTCATGAGGTTCCCATTGGCCCAGTTCTTGTCCAGGTCCCTCTGGATACATCCCATACCTCACGCATGTCAACTGCACTGCTCAGGTTTCAAGTGTAGCCAGGATGTCCCAGAGTCACCAGCTGAGTGCCTTCACTAGGTCCCCATTTCTTTAACTTTGGTGTTTCATCCCACAGCTTCTCACAGGGAAGTCTGGCATTATTCCTCTCCCTTGAAGACACTCCTCCTGCTTTGAGCGCAATGAATCCCACCTGATGCCAGATGCTATGTGGGCTATCTCCCTGTCAGAACTCCAACATTTTGGTGGTGACACCAGCCCCAGAGCCATGTATTTCATAAACTGGGCCCATTTGTTTCTTCCAAAGTCACTGCTTTAAACTGGAGAAATAAGTGAGAAGATAATCTCTGCTCCATATTCCCTTATCTGTCCCAACGCTCTGAAGTTTCTTTTGATCCCCCATTAACTGTGTTGTGACTTCATCAACCCACCGCATGGAAGAGAAGTAAGAGATAGACCTTAGCCTTGTTTAAAGTCTGAAATTGTCAGTCAATGACTCAATCCCAACAGTAGGAATGTGTAGAACAGCTATTACAACAGGTATTGCAGCTACAGTTAGTACTTCCAGAAGAGACATCTGCTGGATAGAGCGAGGAGGAGTGGATATCTCATCATCTGAGTCACTTAAAATTGGATAAAGCAAAACCCTAGAGAATGTGGAAAAGGAAGAGCCCTCATGAGAGAGGAGGGAGCCTCAGTGTGGCCTGTTGCAAAAGACTGTACTGTCACGTGAGATGGGATTGTACCTGTCCCCAGAGGCTGAGTTGCTCCCCATGTGTGCCTGGAGGTTGTATCCTGTATCCTTCAAGATGTTGCACATGTTGGTGTGTACCCTGCCTGCTGTTGTACAACCCTAACTGCCTGAGGGTCAGGCCAGGGATGCCCCTACGGACAAGCTCCAGGCTGCCTTGAATGCCTGGTGTGGGTAAGAGACAGAGAGAGCAGAGATACCCTGCACCATGCAGGCACAGTGTAAGAAGACTTCCTCTGGCAGGACCTGTGGGCCAAAGGAGAGAGACTGGGACACTGCT